TGTCCACTCCACGCCACGGGATGTCCACTCCATGCCACGGGGTGTCCGCTCCATGCTGTGAAGTGTCTACTCCACGGGTTGTCCACGCCGCGGGGTGTCTTCTCCAAGGTGTGTCCGCTCCACACCGCGGGGTGTCCACCCCATGGGGTGTCCACTCCACGCTACGGGGTGTCCACTCCACGGGGTGTCTGTCCGCTTCACGGGATGTCTGCTCCAAAGGGTGTCCGCTCCACGCGGTGTCCACTCCACGGGGTGTCTCTGCTCCACGGGGTGTCCGCTCCACGGGGTGTCCACTCCACAGGGTGTCCGCTCCACTCCACAAGGTGTCCGCTTCACGGGATGTCCGCTCCACGGGGTGTCCACTCCATGCGGTGTCCACTCCACGGGGTGTCCGCTCCACAGAGTGTCTGCTCCACGGGGTGTCTGCTCCAAAGGGTGTCCGCTCCACGCGGTGTCCACTCCACGGGGTGTCCGCTCCACGGGGTGTCTGTCCACTCCACGGGGTGTCTGTCCACTCCACGGGGTGTCTCTGCTCCACGGGGTGTCCGCTCCACTCCACGAGGTGTCCGCTTCACGGGGTGTCCGCTCCACGGGGTGTCCGCTCCACGCGGTGTCCGCTCCACAGGGTGTCCACTCCAAGGGGTGTCCACGGGGTGTCCGCTCCACGCCATGGGGTGTCCACGGGGTGTCCGCTCCATGCCGTGGGGTGTCCGCTCCACGGGGTGTCCACTCCACGGGGTGTCCACTCCATGCGGTGTCCACTCCACGGGGTGTCCGCTCCACAGGGTGTCCTCTCCTCGGGGTGTCTGCTCCGAGCTGCTGGGTGTGGGCTCCCTGTATGGCACCTGCAGGATGGCCGCTTTGCTCCAGCTGCCTGCACACTGGGCCCTTGGATTCTTACTTTGTAGCTAGTTGCCTGTCTGCTGTTATTTGTTACATGAAGTTGTTGGCAGGGCCTGCATAACAGCCTGGCCAAGCAGCTCCTGCAGGTCACTACTTTTCCAGGAAGAGGCTCCAGACCTGAACGAGGTCAGCTTGTGCTAAGCACTGGTCCATGCCGCTGACGTTTAGTGACCCAGCTTTAGGGAAGCCAACTACCCTCCTGACCCCCTGTCTTCTCTCAGAGCACTTGGGGGCAGCTTCAAACTGTTGACCCTTTGGTTAGCAGCCAAGCTGTGCAGGCAGGCCTTATTAATTGTAACATAGTGGTGGACAGCTCCCCAGACCCACGTTCTTCTTGGCACTAAGGTCCAGGCTTCAGTTTAAGTTCAGGCAGAGCTGAGAGCTGGTCCAACACCGCTGTCTCCTCCCCTCCCCTTGTCTTTTCTAAGTGGAAGAGCGGGATGTCGCTGCTCTGTCTTCTTGAGACAGGAGGGTGGCACTGCCAGCCAGCACAGCCTTTGCCACCCACCTTTCCTTAGAGGCACTCTCCTTGTCAACACTGCACAATGAGAACTAGATGTTGGGGTTGCACACGGGCCCTGTTGCTTGTGTCTTTTCCATTCTCTTCTAAGTGAGGACCAGCACTTGTACATCCAGCGGCCCTGGCTTTAGCAGGGAGGTTCTGTGTCCCAGCCCTAAAGGGGCCGGGCCGGGCCGTGCTGTGCTGGGCTGGGCTGTGCTGGAAAAAAATCCCGAAGGGGGGATTGGGGATTATCTTTTCTGCAGACTGGAAATTCCTTGAGGGCAGACAGTACAGCTGTTTGCTTTCCTCAGTGGTCTTTTAAGATGAGAAAGCTGAGTGCTAATCACTGTTGTTACCTGTCAGCAGCCTTGCTTTTCTCTGACTCTCCTTGTCTCCCACAGGTTCCCCCTGAAGGACTCAAAGCGCTTATTGCAGTGGCTAAAAGCCATCCAGAGGGACAACTGGACCCCGACCAAGTACTCTTTCTTGTGTAGTGAACATTTCACCAAAGACAGCTTCTCCAAAAGGCTGGAGGACCAGCACCGGCTCCTCAAGCCCACAGCTGTGCCTTCCATCTTCCACCTGGCTGAGAAGAGAGGAGCTGGGGGCCATGGTCGGGCCCGCAGGAAGGAGAGTGGCAGGACCCAGAAGGCCATGAGAGGGCGCACAGGGGAGGCAGACGGTCAAGGGTCTTCACACAGCAGCCCCATGACCAAGCTGGAGTCCAAGAAGACAAGGCCTATGCCTGAGCATGACGTGGTCCTTCCCGATGCCAGCCATGAGGTACCCAGTCCAGTCCAAGTGCAACCACCTTTGGAGAGAGTCTCTGACGACAGTCCGGCTGCCTCCAAGTCAGGCATCCAGAGTGGAGCAAAAGTGGAGGCTGCAGAAGCTGCCGATGAGCGCTCAGTCCCTGCTGCCAGCGTGGCAGAGAAGAGCTGCATCTCCATGGCCGACTTCTCCCCACCAGCATCTGGGGCCTGCAGATTCATCGGCTCGCTGCACTCCTACAGCTTCTCCTCCCGGCACACCCGGGAGCGGCCACCTGCCACCAAGGAGCAGATTGACCGCAAGAGGCCCCGGAGAGACGTGGAAGCCAGTGGCAGGGGCAGCAGCCCTCCAAACTCGTCCCTCACGGCCACACCCCAGAAGCCCTCCCAAAGCCCCTCAGCGCCCCCAGCGGATGTCCCCCCACAGCCGGCTGCAGAGGCAGTGCAGAGCGAGCACGTTGATGCTAGTCCCATGTCTATCAATGAGGTCATCCTGTCAGCCTCTGGCGCCTGTCGCCTCATCGACTCGCTGCACTCCTACTGCTTCTCCTCTCGGCCCAGCAAGAGCCAGGTGTGCTGCCTGCGGGAACAGGTGGAGAAGAAGAATGGGGAGCTGCGCAGCCTCCGCCAGAGGGTCAGCCGCTCTGACAGCCAACTGCGCAGGCTGCAAGAGAAGCTGGATGCGCTGCAGCGGGCCAGCTCTCCCCACCCTGGCAGCCTGCTGCTCCCCTGCCACGGTCAGTACCAAGTGGTCCTCTGCCAGTGCCCGATCTCTCTCAGGGTGCCCTTCCTGCCTCTGGCTCTAGTCAGTAGCAGAGTGCTAAGCCCCTACTCCATCCGCGGTGTCTTTCCTGCTCCTGGCACTGGCCAGCACCCGAGGACTGAGCCCCCTCCGTGTCAGGAGCTTTTTCCTGCCCCCACTGGGGTCAGTCCCCCAGTGCTG